GCCAGCCCTCTTATTCTATCCGCATGGAGAGCAGTGCAGTGTGGTGCAGCAGCAGCAGCAGCAGCGGTGAACCTCGGCCTCTCCCTGCACTTCAGCAGAGTGCACATGCATGGCAGTATTCAGCTCACGTTAAGGCCATCGCTCTGCTGCGGAAACACCAAGGTGCCACAGCGATGATGGTGAAGCGGGTGCTGAAGGGAACAGCTGTTTCTAATAATAGACTCTTAGAAAGTCTTCATCCCCAATGGGATCGTAACACACACACACACACACACAGGACTCCTTACGCTGTGTTCCAAGCTTCATGAGGCAGCAGTTTTTCACTACTGCCTCACAAGAGGTGATGTCATCGGCTTTATTATTGGCCACTAACGTTTCCTGTGGCTGGCAGTGGCTACTGACTCGGATGTGCTATTTCCAGACTCTTGAATCATTGCTCACATCTCTGATTTGCCTAGAAGTTATAATTTCTAAACCTGATTAATGAAGTGAGACGTACTGGGAGTTCAGGCCGAAAAACATTTTTAACGCGTTCGCCTGGCGAGCAACCTCGAGTTGAATGGATGCGGAGCCAACTTGGAAGCTGTAATTCAGTTTTTTGCTCAATGCATCTACTTGAATGAGTTCGATCAGATAGTTGTGAGTGTTGCTGCTTTTATATTACATAGATAAAATGGTCCTCACTTAATGCAGCTGCATTGTATATTTATTAGTGTAGTGCCCAGAAAGGCTAAGAGTTAAAGGTTTGCACTGTGGGTCATTAAAATAAAAGAAATGATAAAAAAGAAATGAACTATTTCACTCTGGCACTCTAAATCTGTGGATTTAAGAGATAATGCAGGGAAGGTCTTTAGGAACATGATGAATCATTCTCTGGGGATCGATAAAGACTAGAGTCATGGCAGTCTGGTAAAAACAAAATAGAAATATTTAGCAACAAATGAATGTTAAACCGAATTACTTAAAAGTACACGTTTACCTTGCTTTCTCTCCAGGTTGTTCATAAATGGATGCATAAGCAACTTTTCAAACTGCAACGGATGCTGGAAAACCAGAGAGCAGTGAGTGGAATATAAACAGCAGCTTTGCACGTCGAGTCAGCTCGATAGAAGGCAGTGATGCAACATTCTCATGGAAGCTTTTCAAAGGTTGCCTGTGGAATATTAATGAGCAGTTCACAAGAGTACCTGAAAGGCCCCTTTAATATAATTATTTCTTTTTGTGTTTGCGTCTAGCGTGTTTCTCCTCATTACATCTCTTTTTTTCCTGTGACTTTGAACAGACTTTTAAAACCTTCACCATGACCTATCCTGTTAGTTTAGGATAAGGGTCGTTGTTGTTATGCTGCGCCCGTCCTCGTCCGTACATCCAATCAATATGCAAGCGGAGGCAGCCTTGAATCTGAGAACGGGTGTTAACGTGGGAAATAACGTTAAAAGAAACATTATAAACACCATTAGGCAACAGCAGTTTCCTGAATTTGGCTGCACGTCTGTCCAGAGCAAGAGACTGTGATCACGGTTTTGCTCAGTTTAATCCCTGTATTGACATATGACATAGTCACTGCAGGTCTTGGCATGTATGCATTTTCATTTTCACCTGGGCTAAATTATTTATTTGTTTTTCCCACTGATTTTCACCACACAATATGTGAGTAGAAAAAGGAGGGTGTCAGTTGTCCAGGGATAAAGGGACAATTTATATTGTAAAATATTTAGAAAAAAGAAGAAATTGTATTTTATTTTGAAAGCAGGAGGTTAATTGTAGTGGCTCTCTGTTCTAGTCTGTTTATGAATGTCAGTGTTGGTGGTTGGATCTCCCATATCCACATGTTCAGATATCAGCAAGACACTGAACCCCAAATTTCTAAATATGGGGAGGCAGCTCCTTCAATGGCAGTGCTGCCATCACTGGGTAGTGTGTGTGTGTGTGTGTGT